ATATTGACACCTCCAGACTGTCTTTGGGCGCTGACGCCGCATCTTTTTGTGTATGCCAGCAGGAGGATCCAAGCCACTTTACGGGCTCTCCGTTGTCGACTCATTACTCCGAGAGCTGGTGCGGCCTGACAGCCGCCTTTGATTTGTTTTCGTTCCGCAACGAACATGGCACCCCAGTGTCCTCACGATTCTTGTGACTTTGCTCGATTTATTTGTTGCAGGCGCCGAGGTGACACTGCCATGGATGATTCGAATGATTCAGAGTGCGTCACTCTTCTCTCGCAAATTCATGCTGGCTCGGATATGACTCTTGGGCTTGGGATGGCACCCGTGTCTCACCAATATTTCGGTGTCGTTGTAGTGGGATGGCTGATATTTCGCGCAGCTCTAAAAATTTGTCCGAGACGTTTGACAGAGCCCGCGATGAACTGAGTGAGCACGGCCCTTTTGGCCTGTAAAAGCCGCAAGATGATGGCTGCCGCCCCTCAAGGCTTGTGCGCATCACCGTTGCCCTTTTGTTCTTATTGACGTGCTTGATGGACTCTAAAGGGCACGTGGGACCGCTGCGCGGTCACCATATCTAGTGTCGGCTGTCTGACTTTCACAGTGGCTGTTGGTTGCTATTGTGATGTTCTACTTGTGCCTATTGTGCATCACTCCTTTGGCCCGATGGTGCTTGTGCTTTTGTTTGTTGTTCTTTTGCTCTTTTCGGGGAAAGCGGTGAGACCAACAAGCCGGATATTACTTTAGGGTGTGAATGTTTTCTGTTTTGTTTTTCCTAGTTAATTGGCTTGTTTCTTTTTTTATTGCTCGCTCTTGCTGTTGGCGTGCGCTTTCTCTCTCTCCTTAGGATTCTCTACGCTCCCATTTTTATCCTTTCCAAGTCTTTTGTTTTTCCTCCTGTCCTTACTTATTCGGCCTCCTTTCCATGGAACCCGCAATTGACAACGTTATGCTACCTCAAAGCACGCAGCTGCTCCCGAATGCGAGAGCAAAAGAGGCAGAGAGACACACAGCCACAGCCAAGAGATAGACAAGAGGCAAGAAAAGAAGAAAAAAGTTTCTTGAGCACTTACACAACTCATCAAAGAGACTGACACTTTAGAGGGCATTTGTGTTTCGGTTCCAAACATCCAGTGTGTGTGTGTGTGTGCTGTGTAGGAGGATGGCAGTGGGGCCAGTGACAGGTCGGGCTCGGTCCAATGGCTCTGGCTGGACGGCAGTGGGTGAGGTTGGCTTGGATGGTGCGGTGCTCGTGCTGCGATGTGGAGATGGCGACGTCGTCAGCTGGGACTTGGACGACGTTGTTGCCGTGCAGCTGCAAGGTGCCAGTGTCGCGCTGAGCTTGGTTGGTCCATTGGCAGCGCCTCGCTTGCTCGCCGGTTCCGAATTTTGCGGCCCGAGCGGGTTTGCACAGCCTGCAATCAGATCTTAGGCTTGAGCAGCTGACACTTTTTGTGCGATAGCTCCGTGTGCACCCCGGTAGCTGGGCCTTGGCTAGCCCGTTGGCTCAGCGCCTGAGCATCGAAGTGGTGACGCTCGAAGTATCCGACAGCGGCAAGGCACAGGAACTTGGCCAAGCCCTGAGTGCGGCAACTCATCTCCGGGCCTTTGAGTCTGAGGTGCGATCCGGCGCAGACATCCTTCTTTCCCCACTACAGGCGTCTACCGACCCTCTGGGCCTTTCTCATCAGGCGCAATGCGCTGCGTCCTTTTCTGGCCCATCAGGTTTGGCAGATCATCCTTAATCCCGTCAGTGGGAATGGAGCCGGTTTGGAGCTGCTGCAATCCCAGGTAGCCCACATATCCAATACGCTGTCCAGCTCCCTCCAAAAAGCTCCTTTCGACACAGAACCCTTGCTTGACCAGAGGCCCCTGCACACAGGTGTTGCCCATCTTTGATGCAGTGGGTCTGCACTACTTGGTGACGCCCACTGATGGCCCCCAGCAAGCGGCCAACTTGGCGGCCGCTGCTGCCACCGCACACGGTGTCACTCACCTCCTCGCCATGGGGGGGGACGGCCACATCACAGAGGTGCGGAGCAGTGAGCACATGCTGCGTAGAGCCACCGCTACAGCCCCCCCTGACCTTTCCCCGCATCACCCTTGTGGCACATGATCAAACAGGTCCTCAATGGCAATATGCAGCACAGCCGCTTGCCCATGGCAATTCTTCCAGCCGGTATGAAGGGCTCCATTGCCTCAAGCCCTGTGCTCCAGAGCGCCACGGGCCAATTTCGCGGAGCGCTCCACTCAACTTTACGCGCCCGCCTGTAGGGACGGACAACGCACTGGCTGCGACCATCAAGGTGGACTCCTTGGCAGCCGCTGTCAAGACAGTCATTAAAGGCGAATGCTTTTCTGCTGATCTCATGGCGTTGCGTGAGCTGATTCCTGAGCCCGCTGTCGGCAACGCTGGCTCGCCCACCTCCTTTGCTGCGCAGCCTGCCACCGTACTTGCGCATACATGTATTGGGTGGGGGTTTGTCGGTGATATCTTGGCCGGTGCGTGTCGCACTCTGTCGAGATGCTTGCTCGCCTAGAAAACCGGCGCTGCCAGGCAGTATGCCTCAATCCTTGCTGCACATGAAACTCAGACATTGAGCGACATCGTTGGATGGGACGTTCGAAAACGGCCTTTTGTGGAGCCAAGAAAATGCTCGGGGCAGTCGTGCACCATCAAGGCGCCCTATGGATTGAGCCTGAGGCCTTGCCTCTCGCGACGGCAAGCGTCGACCACGACGCCCGCGCAACACATTCGGACCCACAGGCCATTCCATCTCTTGTGTCAGCGCAAAGCGCTCAAATGATCAATGTGTCTTCCTGGCGTCACCGGCCAGCGTCTGCCTATGCAGCTATCAACGTCGGCGTTCATGAAGGCTACAACATGAGCGTCGCGCCCGAAGGTATGCTGGGCAAGTGGCTATCAAAAGTCCTGCGCTCCCAAGACGACACCTTGACCAAGTTCATGCCCCCTTACATCTAGGTCGAATGTGGCCACACGGCCGGATATGTGATGGGCTCTTGGATGTTCTCTTGATTGGCCGAGTATCCTATTTGCGCTTCCTGGATCTGCTCGCGCGCATCAGTCTCGACGGTGCGTATGAGAGATTGCCAATGGGATGAAAAGCCTGGTCTGACGATGTTGATCTCAACGTTTGGTCCTAGGTGAATCGCATGTGCAACAACCACAAGTCGACTATTGCAAAGCACGGCGCATCGTTCTTCAGCGGGTTGCTCAGCCCGGACCCAGGGGTAGCTTTGGCATTGATGGCGAGGTTGTCGACGTGACCAGCGATTATGTCTTGATTGAGGCCATCCCCGGCGCACTTTCCCTCTTTCGTCCCGTTCCTCGTAAGGACCGCTCAAGCGAGACATGTTTTCTTTCTTCACCAGAAAGGTCTTATTTATTCGCCTTGAGGGTTTGACTTCTTTGTCTCATGCTATCCGGTGTCGAACTGCCTTCGAAAATCAAATTGTGTAATAGACACGCCCGCTCAAGAATCACCATCCTGCTTGACGTCTCAACGCTTGGTGAGCCATCGGCGCTTGGTCATTCTCGTACACGTTCCCTAATGCATCCTCACTGTTGACCGACGTTAGGCCTGGAGTGCCGGCCTGCTGGGCTGTTGTGGGAGTTTGAATGGTTGCCTGGAAGGACTTTTGCACTAATCTCTATTGGTGTTATTCAGAGCGTCGCAGCAAGTGCCGGTGATCTAAAAGGCACGAGCTTGGCCAAGCTTTGGGAGAACTGTAATTTTGGCATTGTTCGATTGTAGCTCATGACAGAGGCAGCAATTGAAGGGATGATAAGCAAAGTGATGAACCGGCTCACTACGTACGAAAGCGATACGGGCTGAGATGAACGGGCCCATGCGTGTTTAAAGACGAATGGCGGCCACGGAGAGTATAAATAGATAGTCATGTACATGCACAAGACGGGCGTTGGCGCGAGAAACAACGTGACCGCAAAATAAACCGCATGACTTTGACAAACCACAGCAGGCGTCTGTCATGCCGAGGATGAGACGGCGGCACTGAGGGTTGACAAGTCCATGGGCGTGCCGTCCGTGGCAAAGCTGAGTTCGGCTACGAGGCTCAATTGCCCACGGTCCCGACCTTCAAAGTAGCCCGTGTCCAAGCAACCATCGGGGTGTGGCACAAAAGGCGGTGTCTGAGACTGCATCTGAGCAAAGTCCAACCCCTTGAAGAGGGCGTGATGCTCCAACGCATGGGCTGAAGGGCGATCCTTGGGCAGTGGTGCAAGGCAGGCATTGATAAAGTCTGTAGCCGCCGGGCTCATTTCCACCTCGCTGTCCAACATATCGTGGCGAACGATGCGACGGAACACCGCCTCTTTGGTCTCATCATTGAAGGGCGGGTACCCGTTGAGTAGCTCGTATGCAATCACCCCCAGCGCCCAAATATCCACGGGGCAACCGTGCCCGGTGCCCAAGAGAAGCTCTGGTGCAAGGTAGTCTGGCGTGCCTTTGAGAGAGTGGTGACGCGGGGTCGAGGGGCGCGGTGATGAAAGTGTGGGCGAGGCCTGAGCCTTTGCGGGGCTGGCTTCACTCAAGCCCGTTAAATCATGAAGGCGCGAGCTACCCGCCGTGGAGGGCCGCGAGCCCAGCGAACAGCCGGCAAACGACGCGTCGGGCTGCAACAAGGAGCGGATGGAGGCTTGGCTGAGGTTGGCCTCGGTGGTGTAATGCACGCGATGATGGGAATGATTGCCATGGCTTGGCTGACTGGCATGGCTCGTGTGGCTAGCAAAGCTGACGCTGATGCCACTGTGCTGTAATGCGCTGTAGCCTGCAGAGCTGGGCCGACTGTTGATGGGCAAGGGTGGGAGTTCAAAGCTGATGCTTTCTGTCTCTGAGTGAAGCATACTTTCTTCGGAAATGTGCGAGAGATTGGTTCGAGGGGCGGCCAAGTGACCGTGGGGGGTGGTCATGGGTACTGGCATGGTCATGGGAACAGCCCGGCGCTTGGCCTCCCGAGGGCCGGGTGCTTGCGCACTGGAAGCCATGGAGGACGACACCGTTGCCAGAGGGAATTGTTGGCAGGTGTGTGCATCTGCTTCGGGGAGGTTGCCATGGTTGCTGGCGCTGCTGTAGTTGTGGCGTGCCCGCAAGGGTGTGCGAGTAAAACCGCCGTCCTCGGCAGTTTGCGTGAGAACAGCGCTGTTGTTGTAGTCCCGGCGCAGTCGCCGCCGACTTGCCGACGGCATCCACTTGCGTGGTACAGAGAGACGAAAGTCTGTCTTCAGTGAGAGCAACTGCCCGGGCGTGCGCGTAAAATCGGATTTGGCCTCACTGCTCTGCACCAGAGGTGATAGGGGGTCTGCGAGTTGAGGTGTAGCGCGCGCGTTACTCGCACCCTCGCGGGGCGAGCCTCGATGCCGTTCCTCCGAGGTGATGTTGGGTGAGAGTGCAGGTTGATCTTGGCAGATACGCGAGAGACCAAAGTCGCTCAGTTTGAGGTGTCCACGCGCGTCGATCAAGATGTTGTCGGGCTTCAGGTCACGATGAATGATGCCATGGCGGTGCAGGTATTCAAGGGCAATGGTTATCTCTCCCAGGTAAAAGCGCGCCATCTCCTCGTCAAAGGAGCCAAACTGCTCGAGCATTTGCCCCAAGTCGCCACCAATCAGGTACTCCATCACAAGGTAAAGGGCATTCTCGGAGCGAAACGAGTAGAACAGGCGCACCACATAGGGGCTCATGACCAGCGCCAGCGCGTCGCGCTCTGTCACCACCTGATCGACCATATTTTTGTGCCTCAACACTTCTTTGCGCATCATCTAAATCACACGGGCCAAGGCATGCAAGGGGATCCAGGTTGTGAGCGGTGGCGATTAGCCGCGAGAACGTGGCGGCATAGGTGCAACGCAGTGCCAGGCACGGCGACCATCAGCAGAGCTTGCACCTTCATAGCATAAATTTGCTGCGAGTCCTTCTTGCGAACAAGAAAGACGCTTCCAAAGGCCCCGCGAGAGACGGGCTTGATGATCTCAAAGTCCTTGTAGCCTACAGAAAGGCCGTGCCAGCAAACATACAAAGGCATCAAAGTGAATGAGGTCGGGCTGAGTAGGCAAAATTTAATGAGTGGGGGCGGTGGCAAGGGCCTCGTTGAGCACAAGACTGACCAGGAGGCTGCGACTCCTTCAAACAGGGGCTGGCCGTAGAGACGCTGCTGCGCTTTCGTCGATTCATGGGCGTCGCCAACATGGTGTCGGCCAAAAGACCACGATATGGGGTAGAAGTCGGCAGGGCCTCGCTGGAGGGGATCACGGGTGATGTATCTCGGGCATTTTGCCGGATCAGCTGGCCAGTGGAGGGCGGGGCCGGGCGACGAAAGCCGACTTGCGCTTGAGGCAACTCAAAGTCAGCCACGTCAAGCGCATCATCACTCACACTGGGCTGCATGGGCGAAGGGGGGCAGGCGGCGCGAGAGTCATCCAAGCTCACTACCGAGGCAAAGGAGTGACTCAAACTGGCCATGGACACATCCAGATTTAGTCGAGGCGGGTTGGGGCTGGAGTGATGCCAAGCAGAAGTGCCGGCCGGCGGCGTCTCGGCCGGAGCACGTCGCACGGGCGACATGTTGGGCGTGGCAGGCTCTTGGCCCGTAAGGACATCCAAGCGTGCCAAGTTCTCCAGGGCACGGCAGAGCGTGGACAGTTGGTATAACATGTCCATGGCCAACTGGCGCACTGTCAGCGCCACGTCGGGAGCACGGGCCGCACACCGAAGACGGGCCAGCATATGAGGTGCGTCTTGTTTCAAGCGATCAAAGGGGGATCCATCCAGCTCGTCAACAAGTGCTTCGAGATCAGCAAGCGCTCGCTTATCTGCATCGGCAGTTGGGGTCGAGCCTGGGATGCAATGCGCAGCCGATGCTCGAGCATGTCGGGTCAGGGTCAGGCGCATCTCTGCCACAACGTGGCTATGCGTGTGCGCGCATCCGATTTGCAGTTGAACATGCTCTTGACGACTATGTTGCCGGTGAAACTGAACGGAGATGGCCGTGGCAGGCTCGGCGTGCTCCTCGGGCTCGACAACCCCCACTGGGGACCCCGGTCTGGGTGTTTGTTCCCCAGCAGAGTGCTGCTGCGCCATGATCGGTGATCTTGGAGTAAAAGTCGGCTCAAAAAAAAGCAAAGTGCACTTGTGTGGGCAGTGCAAACCAGCGTCGAGACCACCCCGACAAGCCGCGACGATGCGGTCAGTCGGTCGATCGCGACACACACACACACACACACACACACACACACACACACACACACACACACACACTCTCTCTCTCTCTCTCTCTCTCTCTTTTTCTCTCTCTCTCTCGCAACAAAAGAATTCAAATCTTCGCGCGAAAAAAAAAGTGTGATCTAAAAATAGAATGTTTAAAAAAGGGGGAGGAAGTTGAGTTTAAAGTTTCAACGCCGCGACCGAGGCGACGGACGGGCGGGCGGTGTTTGACGGGGGCACTTCTTCAACGTGCTACCACGAAAGTCCAAGCGTCATAATTTGAAAGAAAAAAAAAAGGGAAGAGATGATAAAATCAAAACAAAAGAGACCGTAGTAATGGCAAAAGGATGAGCTGAGCCTGATGGACCTATGAACCCTCGGGCGGGCCCGAGGTTTGAGACAACCAGGTTTATTGGGAGGCCGGCTCAGGAGTCAGTTTTGAAAAGTCAAACGAGGATGGCGGTAGCTCTGGGATGGGTGGAGTGCCCCCGGCAGGGGGTGCAGGGGAGGGCGAGCTTGAATGATGGACGCCGTCGACCGAGATGTTTGAAGCGGTTGAACCTCGCGATAGCGAGGAACCTGGAGACTGTGAGCGATGTCCAGTGCCAACCACATGGCTCAATGGCCCAGAGTGGGGTGCTATTTCAATCGTGACGGGCGTAAGCAGGCGCGGTTATCCAAAGCGGATGAAATCATTCAAGTCAACCATGCCAACTTGTTTTGACAAACGACATACTTGGTGAGGATGGTCCTGATGAAAGGTGCATGTGTTGAGTACCTATGGAAACAAGCGGCGGAGGCAAGCCGTGTGAGGCCAAGGTTCTGAGCAGTTCAGGCTTCTTATCTCGCAAGACCAAGCCAGTTGCTGAGGCGGGCTAGCCGTACTGCTGACGAGGTCCTCCGCAGCGTCGTCCGGGGGTGGGCTGACAGTATAGGGATAGTCTTCTGACTCGCGACGTTTGATGCCGTTGGGGTAAGGGTTGGAAATGGCGGTGGAAGGGCGCATCATGACCAAAGAGGCCCGCGACGAGGCTGGTGAAATGGCTTTGGGTGGAACGGCGTCAATGGGCGGAGGCAGCGGCGAGCGAGAGCTGCGCGACGGGGACTTTGACGGGGCCGACGTGACGGAAAAATTAAAGGTCGGGGCAGCGATAGTTGGTAGAACAGGATCTGGCAGCACGGAGCGAGGCACGGAGAGCTCTTGCAGTGACTTTGCCGAGTTGAGCGGTGGCTTTTCCAGAGGCTGCAGAGGATCCACGGGTGCACCAAAGGAAAGAATGAAAAGAACAGAAAAGGTCAGGCGAGGCACGAGTGCGGACGGGCGGGTGTTTGACAGGCTTGCGCATGGGCCTAGCACGCACCGCATCGAGGTTGCGCTTCGAGGCTGGAATCCGATGCAGATAGCCAAAGCCAATGCCACAACCCAAACTGTGGAAGACAAGCGAGGGCGCATGCGGTGAGCAAAGGCATGTGGCAAAGCGAGGTGTGCACGCTTTGACGACACTAGGCGGGGCAACATACATGCCCTCGCCTCCCCAGCCGCGCTTGGGTGTGACCACAACTTCACGGCAGGCATCAATGTCACTGTTGTACACGTAAAGGCGCACAGGTTCACCGATGTGCTTCTCAAGGAGCGCCGCCCTGCAAGGTTGAGCGGGCCGATCGCCAACAGAAGAAGCCGCAAGGGGGGAAGAGGGGGGGGTCAGCCGGCGAGCAAGGTGGGAGATGCGGGCAAGGTGGGAGATGTGGGCAAGCTTGGGTAGCAAAAGAAACGGACAGATCATCTTCCTCCTCAAGCACGGAATCAGCAGCCACGATATAATCTGTCCCGGACAAAAGGCCGGCATGCGCGGCGGGCGAGCCAGGTTGGACGTCCTAGAAGCCATGCACACCAGCGTCCATCAGCATGGGGGAGGCACTACGGCTAGTCCCTGGGGATGGGACCGTCAAGGCAGGGAAACGGTCACGCACGAGAATATGCCACACGGTCTCGCTCGCGCGCTCAAAGGAGGCGTAGCGGATGCTGAGACCCAGCAGCCCGGCGCCGCCCCAGTTTTTATTAGGGATTATTGTTGTCTCTGCGCCGTGCAGAATAGCAGATCAGGGCAGGGGTTAGTGGTCTTTGATTTTTGGCTGCTTTTGTCGCCGTGGCCACTGATCGAGCGCATGGAGTGGTGGGTGCATCACCCAAATTAAGGTGCCGTGCGAGGCAGCAGGGCTCGGAAAACACGAGGGCGGCACCAGGTGCATACCTCGGACGGTCTGATCCTTGCTCGAGTACACTAGGATTTGCACAGGCTTGTTGATGTTCTCATTGGCGCATGTCTTGAGAAAAGGACTGTCCTCGTGCTACGAAACAGCCAGGGAAAGATGGCCGGCTCAGCCCCGTCACGCGTTTGGTGCCTGTGGACAGTGCCAACAACGACGTATGGCGGGACATACCAAACGGATCCCCTTGATGGCGATAATGTAGTCAAAGAAAGGCTCCAGTCCGGCATCATGGCCTGGAGAGTTGTCTTGGACACGAAGAACGTTGTAGCCCCCCGTCCCGCCCCCGGGAATCTCCAGCGACTGAGAAGCCCCCATCTCCGTCGTCCTTGAGGCCACCAACACCAACAAATGTAGATGTGTGTGTGAGAGAGAGAACAGCTTGAGAGAGAGAGAGAGAGAGAGAGAGAGAGAGAGCAGCTTGAGAGAGAAAGAGCTTGAGAGAGTTTGAGAGAGAGAGAGAGTTTGAGAAGAGAGAGAGAGAGCGATAAGAGAGAGATGGGTTTGAGAGATAAGAGATAGAGAGAGAGAGAGCTAAGAGAGAGAGCTAAGAGAGAGAGAGAGAGAGAGAGAGAGAGAGAGAGAGAGAGAGAGAGAGAGAGAGAGAGAGAAAAAAAGAGCTTTTATCTTTGTGCTGTCACAGTGTGTGTCGGGTGTATTTTCGCCACAACAGGTGTTGTACACGATCCGAGCTGTGCAGGGCCGATTCAAGGGTCCGAGCTCATGCGGGAGCGCCAGTGCTCACCGCCCTTCACACCGCTCTTCACACTGCTGCTGCCTCACGCTCCTTGATGCTGCGGGTGGTGCTGTATGCTTTGCAACATCTAGTTGTTCCATCCCGAACTTGACGAGATGGCTGACAGCGACTTTTACGTTCGGTATGCCCGAGCCCCAGCCGATCGATTCTTTTCGCTCGCACCGCAGCAGGCTAACGTTTGTGAATCGGCCTCTTCCACCCTTCTTCAGGTACTACGTGGGCCACAAGGGCAAGTTTGGCCACGAGTTTCTGGAGTTTGAATTCACCGGCAATGGTCAGTTATCGACCCTCTGGTCAAGCAGGCAGCATTTCGCACCATCGCTGAAGAAGAAGAAGAAGAGGAAGAAAAAGAAAAAAACAAAAACGAGTCATGGTCAAATTCCTCTCGACCTGACTCATGTTGTAATCGACCGCCATGCCTCCCCGCTTGCTCGTCCATTCAGGCAAGCTCCGCTATGCCAACAACTCCGAGTACAAGAATGACTCGATGATTCGCAAGGAGGTGGGTCCTTCTCGTTCGCGTTCACGGCACCACGCCGCTTGACGTCGCATTTTTCAGTCTCCGTGTTCTCACACCCCTATTGCGGTGCGGCACATATGCTCGATTCTTTTTCTTGTCCAGTGCTACGTATCCAAGGCCGTCCTTGAAGAGATCAAGGCCATCATCGAAGACAGCGAGGTCTGGCGCGCGTTTTACAAATACCACATCTGCTTCATTTGCCGCATCTGTTCAGGGTCATTACAACCCCACTTGATGTTCATGATTTAATCTTCTGAATTGTGGCAGATCACCAAGGAAGATGACAATCTGTGGCCCATGCCTGACCGCGTTGGCCGCCAGGTACGCCTTCAGGCTGTTCAAAAATGCTTGACATTCCCACATCGGCGACTTGGACCTTCACGTCGCGCTGCAGACATGAAGCTCGGTGTTTATTGGTTGGCTCACCTTTCATGTCCTTTCGTCGTGGTGGCGGACGACTCTTGGTTGCCGTCATTAGGAGCTGGAAATTGTGTACGGCAACGATCACATTTCCTTTACCACCGCCAAGATTGGCAGCATGATTGAAGTCAACGACAGCAAGTGCGTCCCAATGCCCCCTCCCCCTGATTCATGATTGGCAGAGCAGACACGCTGCTCACCTCTGGTCATTTGTTCTGGCGTCTGCCTTTCCTCTTTTTTCATCGCTGCACCCATGCAGGGACCCCGAGGGCTTGCGGACGTTCTACTACTTGGTGCAGGATTTGAAATGCTTTGTTTTCTCGATGATCTCCCTGCACTTCAAGATCAAGCCCCTGGGTTGAGCAAGCTCCTGTAGGGTTGACCTCGCTGACAGAAACCAAGCCTTCTTTCTGATGCTAGAAGAGCCATCGTGGAAGCGTGGGTTTGAATGTGTTGTTGTGAACTGTAGCATCGCAAGCCAGGCTGGCTGCGCCGTCTGCAGCTGAGAAGAAGAAAAACTTGACGCCACGGGGGCGTTGAGATACTTGAAATCACAAAAAAGCCGGAACAAGAGTCATCTTGATCAAAATTGACACTCAAAATCTCTCAAAGGGCATCCGTCAGATTGGGTCAATGCTTTCTCCGTTTTGTTGCGACGTCATGGACCAAACGCCAGGATTTCATCGGCGCCGGCCCCATCGTGAGCGTCTCAACTCGGCACCCTCATACAATATGCCTCCGTGCTGACCCTGAAAATCTGTCGGATAGAGAATATCACCAAGCCGTGAGCGCAAACTCCAAACACCTTCACAAAGTAGCAGCAAGCACGAGCCGCTGGGTGACTCACGTGCCGGTAGGGCTGTGGCGTCGGGGTTCTGTTGAAACACTGATTCACCACCTGGCGGGGTCGCCTGAAGCTGCTCAAAGCTGGCGAGCTGGGCAGACGGCCCAGGGTTTGGACGAGAAAATTGGGCTTGCCATCTAACATTTAGCGTGTGGCCGTCACATGTCAGGGGACAGGCTAGCACAAGACGCACGAGGTTGACCAAGGAGGCAGTAGATCGCGCTCCGCTTACTTGCTATTGATTTTATCAAATTCACACAATCGCTGGCGAAGGGCCTGAATTTGGTGCTCCGTGCCCACTGCCACATTGGTATTTACAATGCCCACAACATGACTGGCCAGCGCTTTGAGTACCACCACTCCCTTCCTCACTCCACTCTAGCGTCACAACTGACCTGCCCGCTTCCAATTGGCATTCAACACGTGGAAGCGTTGATGCTGTCGCCTCAAGGTGGGAGGTGGTGGTGACCGATGCGTCAAACGATTGGGTGCCGGCGCATGCAACGTGAGGGCACCCGCTGGAGCCAGCAAGGGTTTGCTCGCGGGTGGCAGAGGGGAGGTCGGAGGCATGAAGAGTTGTGATTTGGGAGAAGCCACAATGTTCGCTCCTCTGCTACTTTGTCGAGTCGTTTCAGATGAAGGTGGCGGCAATGTTCGTCGTTCGACAACAGCGGATGAACGAGCGCGGCGCACGAGCTAACAGGCCAGGGACAGCATGTCACACGTGAGTAGTACACAACCAGGTTGCATTGCAACGACTGCTCCCGGCTGTTAAACCTCTGTCCCACATGCAGGCAGCTGAAATGACATTTCTAATATTATTATTATTATTGCCCACTCATGGCAAGGGTTTGGTGCCACGAAACAGGCAGCCGTGACCCAGAGGGACTCACACTAAGGCGCTCCGATTGGTGGCTCAAGCCACCGGTGGAGAGCGGGATAGGTGGATCAAACTTTGCACGTGCTGTGGCCCTTGAGTCATTGGGGTGGCGGTGCGACCGGCGAGCCTCGGAGTGTGATGGGCGCTTCATCAACACTGGTTCAGTCGCCAATGTGGCGCGCAGTGGCTCGCGCGAAACTCGTGCTTGTCGACGCCGGCGCCGTGGGCGAGGTTGGCCTTGTTTATCACTCATTGGCGGCGAAATATCACGTCCCGTGCCTTTATCATTCTGCACGGTTGATTGGCCGTCAAGTTGCTGGCTTTGACGTTGATGGCTGGATGGTCCACTCTGGCCGACGTTCTCGGGTGAGAGCGTGGGCCAGACCAGTCCAGGAGAGGTGCGGGCCACTGCAGCACCAGCAGCAGACTGTGGTGAGGCTGTGGTCAAGAAAGGCTAGCATAAGCGACGAGCGCCTCACACTGTGGATCTACTCCATGGCATTAGCGGCAGATGGGAGGGGGCGGTGGGGCGAGGCGAGCAGCCAAGACATACGCTGATAGGCAGCCACGGCAGCTACATCCATCTTGGTTCTGGCCAGTTGAGTCCAGTATCCCCAGCCAGCGCGCGTGTCGTCCTCGACGCTGCAGCCAAACACTGAGCCCTGGCATGAACACGCGCCCTTGATCAACACGCAGAACGGCCTCAACCCTTTTGAATTTTTTTTTGCCTTACAGCTAACAAGTCAGTGAAGACTTTGTCGACAAATGACAATCGATTTTGGCGGGAAAGTTGCTGTTAACGGTCAGTAGTTTGTGTGTGTGTGTGTGTGTGTGTGTGTGTGTGTGTGTGTGTGTGTGTGTGTGTGTGTGTGTGTGTGTGTGTGTGTGTGTGTGTGTGTGTGTTGTCAATTTCTTTTTGGGCAAACACAACGGCTACAAGCCGCAGCGAGGGCCGAGCTCTACTTGTGTGCGGATGTGGTTGAGGCGTGCTTCTGGTTTGGGTTGGCGTGGTGACGAGTGGACCGCAGCGGGAGTGAGCAGACTGGACCGCTTCCATGGCGAGCGCAGATCCCCCCAAAATCCATCGCCTTGAGCAGGCTGTTGTGAATCGAATCGCCGCTGGCGAGGTGCGTTCGGCCCGCCGCGTTGCCAACACGTTGATGTACCTCCGGGTACTTTTTTCTTAGACCTGCCTTGTGTCGTGCTTCCCAGATCATTCAACGCCCCGCCAACGCCATCAAGGAGATGTTGGAAAACTCGTCAGTCATTGCCTGCCCTGCTCGCCCTGCTCGCCTGGACGTCCATGGACATCTGCCGCTGACAAGCCATGCCACCCTTTGTCTAGGTTGGACGCCGGCTCCACCAGCGTCACCATCACTGTCAAGCAAGGTGGCATCAAGTTCTTGCAAATCCAGGATAATGGTCATGGCATTAATGTTCGTATTCTGCAGTTTGAAAGTCCCTCTTTGCTCGTTGCGTCTGCACATCCGGCTCAACGCGCGCTCGCGGACGCGCCGCCCGCGGCTTGCCTGGCTGTAGAAAGAAGACATGGACATTGTCTGTGAGCGATTCACGACCAGCAAACTGAGTGCCTACGAAGACTTGCAAACCATCGCTACCTATGGTTTTCGTGGCGAGGCACTTGCGAGCATCAGCCACGTTGCGCATCTCTCCATCATCACCAAGACTCCCACCAGCCCATGCGCCTACAGGTTGGGCTAGAACTTAAGTTGTTGTTTTGCCTGTCGTGAACTTGCGCCATGCCTGGCTCACCCCATCGCTGAATATGGCATGTGCGTGGCGGTTACTCCACCGCAGTGCATCTTATCGAGACGGCAAGATGGTGGCCGAACGTCCTGATAAACCTGCAGCCCCGAAGCCGTGCGCCGGTAACACGGGCACTCAGATCACCGTCGAGGAGCTCTTCTACAATGTGCAGGCCCGGCGACGGGCTCTGAAAAACTACAATGACGAGCTCAATCGCATCGTGGATGTTGTTTCACGGTGTGTGTGTGTGTGTGTGTGTGTGTGTGTGTGTGTGTGTGCGTGTGTGTGTGTGTGTGTGTGTGCTGCCCCGTTTTGCCCTCAATGTCAATGTCATGCTCGCACCCGTTCCATGAGCCTGGTGCGTCCCCAGCTCACCATGACGTCGCCTCAGCTATGCCATTCACAACAGCGGTGCAGGCCTCACGCTGAAGAAGTTTGGCGAGGCCACCGCGTTGGTACGCACCACGGCCTCTGGCTCCACGGTGCGTAACATTCGCGCTTAGCGGGCTTCCATCTTGCCCCGGGCTCGCGACTCATTGGCTATTTCCGCAGATTGACAACATTCGCGCCGTTTACGGCAACGCCATCGCCCAGGAGCTTATCGAGGTAAGGTCCTGGTCGCCGTCAGAGCCATTGTGGCAGCAACACATCGTGGCCTGCTTGACTACATTTCTTGCATTGCCTCTTACCATGCTCATTGATCCGTCGTCGTGTTGGTGCGTGCGCAGATCAAACGAGAGGATAACGACCTCAACTTCAAACTTGAGGGTTACATGACCAACCCAAATTATAACACCAAGAAGCAAACCCTCATCCTCTTCATCAATCATCGCAGCGTACGCTCCTCTACCATCAAGAAGGCCATTGATGAAGGTACGGCCCTGGCACATGCAAGCCACCCAGCGCCCGAGCCCGTCATTTGCTGGCCACCCTGAAAAATCAAGCTAAACTGTCTTTGCGCCCTTACCTTGCCACTCACCCTAGTGTATAGTGCCTATCTGCCTCGTGGGATGCATTCGTTTGCCTACTTGTCCTTGCTGATCAAGCCCGAACTGGTGGACGTCAATGTGCATCCCACAAAGCACGAAGTTCATTTTCTCAATGAGGTTGGTAGTCGCACCTACCATGTATGATTGATGAGGCTTGCATGCGCCGGTTATTGCCTGTGAAACCTTTCATCGAGCTCACCGGCTCGGCTGAATTAGGAGGAGATTGTTCAAAGTATCGCAGTGGCGGTGAGCGAAGCTTTACTGGGCAGCAATACTTCCCGAACGTTTCAAACCCAGACCCTACTTCCAGGCGCAGCCAGCTTGTCTAGCAAGCCAGAATCAGCACCGGTTGCTTCTCAGCGAACGCGGCGCAGCCAGCGAGCTGTGGCTGCAGAAGAGGATCGTTTGCTTTATGATCATGACATTGTGCGCACTGACTCGGCCTCACAAAGCCTGCTGAAGGTAGGTCTTGTCCATCCAGGATGAAAACTAAAGATGGTTTGTTTTGTCGATTGCGTTGCCCGCTCACCAGCCGTTCTTGGATAGTTTTTTGATCGCGTCGAACAGGCACAGCCTGCTGCTGCTGCACGCAGTAGTCAGCGAGCAAGCTTGGCACGGCGAAGCTCTGATGCATCATCAGCAACAGCAACACCTAGCGCGACGCCGGCTAGAACCAGTCAACGGTCTGCCCGGGCCCAGCGGCGCGACAATGAGGTTCAGGATCTCCTCGATGATCTTCAAAGCCAGAGCCAGAGCCAGAGCCAGAGCCAAAGTCAGAGCCAGAGCCAGAGCCAACAAATTCCACGTCGTTCTCATGCTGAGGATGATCCGGATGAAGTCACAATGGAGCAAGCTGCAGATGTCGAGAGCGACGAAGACAACGAGGTCAACGACGAAGAAAACAACACGAACAACGAGGTTGCGCTGCCGGTCGCTCAAGAATCACAAGCCACGGACAGCACGGACTTGTCTTTTGCTCTGACTGCCACTCCTGACACAACAGCCAACGCGCCGATTGTTCTCGACGAGCCCGAGTCCACCACTGCCGATGCTGAGACAATTGGTGTTGAGCATGTCGACGCTCATATTAGTCAAAGCGATATTTGTGAGGGTGATAACGCGGTTACCGCCATGGGACATGCCCACAGCGATGGCAATCTGGCTGGCTCCGCCAAGCGTGACGTTGCAACTTCTGACGGTGACCTGGACGCGCGAGGATCCAAGCGAGCAAAGAATGCTTCCGGCAGCAGCTCGCAGGCATTGGCGGCACGCTCTCGGCAAGTTATTTATATACCCTAAAGGCAGCAGCGCGTGTGGGCAAGCCTTGGGATACGTTGCCTCACCTGCCCTTGCCTTGTTAGAATCGGTAAACCTTGGACTGAATCACACGTCACTTTGACGTCCATACGCGAGCTCCGCGACGGGCTTGTGGAGCAAGAGCATGCAAGTACGTACAATGTTTGCCTGCGCTGTCCCATCCAGGCCGGCTCACACGTCCAAAGTCCTGCCTGATCTTGAGCATGTGTCGTGCTCTCGCAACGCCCTGGTCTTGCTCTAGCTTTCCGTGATCTCTTGAGGGGCCACGTCTTTGTCGGTTGTATCGACCAATCCCTTGCACTGGCCCAACACCAACATAACCTTTACTTGATCAAGACGCGCTTGTTAAGCGAGGAGCTTTTTGCACAGCTGTGCCTGCGTGGGTTTGCTGCCTTGAGCCCTATCGTTTTGGATCCGGCGCCCAGTGTGAGCGAGCTGCTGCGCCAGGCCCTGGACATGTGCGTGCCCCTGTCATGCAACGTCACCCTCTTGCTTTCGCTTATCATATGTATACGTCCCCGAGCCTTGAGCTTTGCATCTCTGGGCCAAGTGGCCCCTGAGTTTCTGCATGTTGCTGTCATTCGATGACCCCGTGGTGATATACTCATGCCCCTTTGACCGGGACGCTGCCTCGTTCTTTTCCCACTTGTATGCAGGCCCGAGTCAGAATGGACGTCGGAAGATGGACCCAAGGACGAGCTTGCACAGGTTTGTAGTTTGTGCATCACCTTTTTTAAGCTGTGGGATGTTTTAGCCAGGCACCTCATGTACTTGCTCTGCCATCATGTCCTGCGTCCGTCTGTTACCGTAGAACATGGCTGTGTTTATCCAGGAAAAGTCAGCTATGCTGACCGAGTACTTTGCTCTCGAGATTGGGGAGGTATGTGGTATAGGATGGCACAACTGCATACAATTGGTTGGCACATACAGGTAACTTTTGCGCTCTTGCGTACACTTAACAGCAGGGTCAGCTCGTCTCAGTTCCATGCTTACTCGAGGGCCACTTGCCTGACTTTTCCGGATTGCCACTCTTTCTGCTGAATCTCATTACGGATGTCGACTGGAAGGAAGAAAAGGCGTGCTTCAGTACTGTGGCCCAGCAAATAGGGTATGGGCTGTTGTTGTGCTGCACTCTTTGTCGCCCCTGGCCAAGCCAAAGCTGGTGCCATTGCCTGCCTTTTTGGCTCTGATAAAGGAGTTCGAACCCAATTGTTGCCTGGCAGACGCTTTTACGCTGCATTTGAAACCCGGCCCGTGTCAATGCGATTTGATGATGGCGAGGAAACGGTAAGACTGGCAAGCGTTCATGGGTATGACAAAACCAGCATGAGTTTTGCCCCTTGGCTCATGCCACTTGACTACTCTCGGCCTTTTTTTTTTTTTTTTTTTTTTTTTTTTTTTCCTTGCTTGATATCAGACAACTGAAGACACTCGGCAAGATGATCATTGGGTGGTGAGTTGCTTGCATCGTGCCTTGGGGTAGCGACAAGATCATGTTGTGGCAATGGATCGCCTCGCTCATCATCATCATACCATTGTGTCCCAACACATGGGTGACACCTGGTCAGGTGGAGCATGTTTTGTTTCCCGCATTCCGCAACATGTATCACCCCTCAAAGCAGGTGGCAGAAAAGGGAGGCGCTCTGCGAGTCGCCAACCTCAAGGAGCTGTATAAGGTTCGGTCGGCCACCCGATGCTGCCGTCCTGCTCTCACTCCCGTGGTCATGAGGTTGGGGCCAATCCTGATCCCGCCGTGCTTGTTGTAGGTCTTTGAGCGCTGTTGAAGAGGGCACTTGCACGAGAACACCCATGTTTTCTAGATGACAGTTTTGATGGTGCGGTTTGATGGTGCGTGCACATGTTCAGCTCAAGCCAATCGGCAGAGAAAGAATTGAGGATCGAGTTTTGGGTGGGTTCGGTTTTCCAACTGGTCCAACTGGTCTAACACAGTCAACCACACATTCACACTCTATCAAAAACAAGGGAGGCATGCGAAAAGGCCCAGGGGCTCCTCTTGAAGCGGCATATCTGAGATCATAAGCGCTCGGCGCATCAGACAGGTGACCGCAAAAGAGCCACGTCATGTGGCGCAGACGTCCGTTTAAGCCATAAGCTCAATCTGCTGCTCGCCGCTTCCAGGCTCAGGTGATTGAACAACGCCAAAGCGTTTCTGGATGGGCTCCTTCATCAAGGGAAAGGCGTCGTAAAAGGCCTCGGGTTCGGTCAGGGCAAAGCAGGGCATGCAGCAAAAGAGCACAATCAGGACGCAACCCAGGTCAAAGACTTTCCATCCATAGCTCTCATCGCAGTCCCCCGAGGCGTCGTCGCTCGGCTGGCCACAACCCAGGTTGGTTGAGTATAGTATCAAGCCGAGCCCCGTCAAGAGGATGAGCAGGCCCATCCATTGACAAGCGCTCCATCGCCGCGGGAGCTTGATCAGTGGGCGACGCGGTTCATCCTTGGCTGACGCTTCGCCCGCCGCACCAGCGTGTCGCGCCATCGGCTCGGCCTGCTTCAACAAGTCGACCTACACATCAAGCCAACAGACACTCGACCACCCAGCCATGTACGCCACGTCGTCTCAACTCCAGCTTCCGCCCCCACCCCACACGCCTTTTGAACCTCCCGAGACCGTCCAAAAAAAAAAACAACAAAAAGCCAAAAAAATAAAATGAAATAAAACTCCACACACACACATACACACACACACACACACACCCTTTAAAATATCACACAGTGATTCACACACATGTTTTCGAATGGACGGGGTTGGTGGTGATGGCTGAAGCGGTGCGAAACGAAGCTACACGGCGCTGCAAGAGAGGCAGAGGCCGCGAAGATTGAGGAGGAGTGAGAGCGCGATGCCCTCAAGGCAGAGCTGGGCAATCTCCTAGCCAAGCTGGACGCCTGCCTGCATGGCTGCAATGGCGCCATAAATGCCGATGTCTTGATGCTGTTTCACGTTTCACAGGCTGACAGAAGCAGATCGCAACAGCGCAGGCCAGCGCTGAGCGACAGCCAAACAGACTCCGCATAGAGCAATGTTTGAGAGAAGGGGCCATAGTAGGCATGTCCATTGCGGAAGGTCCGTCTGCCGCATCGTGCTCGGCGAATCGCCATACGCTATGATGCAGCCGATGTGTTTGCAACAGCTGTTTTCAACCGAAGGCAAAACCTTTTTATCTTAGAGAGTAAAATTATCATTTTACAGAGCAAAAATTGTAACCGTTTTTTTTTTTTTTTTTTTTTTTTTTTTTTTTTTTTTTTTTTTTTTTTTTTTTTTTTTTTTTTTTTGAAGTCAAGTGGCAGTTGAGCGCGACGAGACGGACGGACGGCCCGGGTCGGGGCGGGGGAGGGGCTTCAACTCTGCGTGCGCATGGGGTGGAAGCAAATGCAAGGGGAGGTGGCTGTTTATGTTTGGTTGGACCACGCTTGAGTGGTTTTCTCACACGAAAGCAGAACTAGCCGTGTGCTTCTCACCGCTGTTATGAGCGACAGCGACAGTGAGATGCGGTATCGGCTGGCAGCCGCGGCGCATGACACGGCGCATCTCTCTGCGGCAGTACGTCGGGCATGAAGCGGATGCCTCTCTGATTGATCGTTTGCTAAGAACGGGCCGTCGCTTACCTGCCTCGATCTTGTCACGCCTCGATGCCCAGGTTACGGCTCAGGCGGAGCACACCGTGCGTCGCTACGGCCAACAACCCCGTGACCACCCCGCGACGCCTTCGGCCCAACTGTACGTTTCCGTTCCTTATGTTGCCTCTGGTCCTCGGTGCCTGGTCTGCGCACGCTTGGTGACATATCATCTCGCCGGTCTGCCTCCCCCTAATGCCGCACCTATTGCCCTGCCCTGAAACCTGCTGGAATCAGGCTTCAAAATCGTGTCGACCACCTGACATCACAGGTTATACCCCGCCTCCACCTGTTTGCAGCACCGTTTTGTCCCGGCCCGCTGGCCCTGACTGTCAAGCCGTGGTTGGCTTGCTTTTGGATTGGGTGTTAGGTTGAGCAACTCCAGCGCGCTCGCTCAGCTCAGCTGCGCCAGCGCCAACAAGGCACAATGCGCCAATCCGAGCGCACAGCCATCAACCGCGAACTCATCAAGCAGCTTTCAACTGCGCAACAGGTATGATCTTCCCGAGTCATCTCGCGAGTCACTGCTAGCTCACGTTTTGTCCCATCCGCGTGCAACATGCAGGCGCTCGATCTAGCCAAGCGGGAGCGCGATGATGCCATCGTACAGGCCCGTCGGGCCGAAACCGCCCACATCAAGCGTCAAACTTCGGCACGCGTTGACCAAGCAACCCATGATGAGGTTGGGCATACATCACGTCCTCACAGGCACACGACTTTGGCCCCAACAAGTTGCCCTTACCCCCTCACGTGTGCGCCTGGCCCGGCCCCGGCCAATCTCCGGTGGTAGATGTGTCGGCGCCTGGTTGATCTCGAAGCCAAAGCCATGCAGGCCCAACTCGAGGGTGAAAACTTGCGTCAAGCTCTTCACGATTGCGAACAGCTCGTCGTGCAGCTTCGGACCGACATTCACACGCTCACTCAATCTCGTGAACAACTTGAAGCCATGTATCAAGGTATGTTTGCCACAACCCGCGAGGCAATGCTTGCTGTTCTTTCTCCGCTTGCACGTTCAAAGTTGTCATCTCAGCATCTCACCCGCCAATCAACAACCCTCTCTTGATGTCATATGTGGTCATGTCTTAATGTAGAAAAATGCGTACGTGCAGCAGATCTTGAAGACCTGCTGCGCGACCGGCATGCCGCTGAAACAGCAGCCAAAAATGAGGTTGACCAAAACAACTCAACTTCTGACAATGCTCCCACATAGTTTGCTCGTCCTTGCCACCCACTCTTATGCTCATCACGCTGCATCTACCTTTTCCAATTCTTGCTTGCAAAACAGTTGAGTGAAACACGCTCGGAACTCGAGAGCGAGCGGGCCGCACGTCGGGCTGCTGAAGCCGCCATGGTGCGCATGCAGACTGATCATGCAGCCGCGATCGCTCGCTTACGAGCTCCCACGGAGGTACGCCCGCGAAAAGGGCAAACTTTATGTTTTCCTTCAAGGGCCCAGACCCGAATGCTGGCCCAAAGTGTACTGCCACTTAATGTGTTGAATTTCAATTATCTGATTGCCGCGCCACAACTTCCATTTGGACTGGGTAGAATCCGCAACAAACAAAGACGATCCAGGACCTGCGGGCTTCCATGGAGCGACTCGAGCAGGACGCTGCACACCTCAAGGTACAGACACCACACAGCTTTTTGCATACCCCATAGCCTCTACAAACTTGGAATTTCATTGTGCATGGGTTTCCTTAGGCTGTGGCTGCACGCGCTGAGGAACAGCGTGATGCCATGTCTCAGGACATGGCCGCCACGACTGCTGCCACCGAACAAACCATGAGCGAGCTGCTTCACGAGCTGGCTGAAAAGGATGCCGCCCTGGTGGAATTGACGCAGCAGTTGCATGCGCGACACCATCAGCCACGTACCGGGATGCCAGCATTCTCTGCAGAAGTGGATCACCATTCTGCCACACAACACCCTAGGCGACACCGCACGCCAGGTGCGCAAGGTCGAGAACGCGCGCATCGGCCTGCGCACGTGCCGGATTCTGCAGCTCGGTCTTCGCCAGCAATCAACATTCGCCACGCGTCAGCTTCAGGAGTGAGCGACGATGAAGAGGCAAATTCCAGCTTCTCCGATGACAGCGATGCGACTCACCACGCACACCCTCGTCCAGCTCGTCACTTGGGATCAGCCGCGCATTCGCAGCATGCCACCCCTGCGGCTGCATATGGGCCGCTTTCCGATTCTGAAAGCGACGCGTTACCCCCCGCGTCGTCGCCTAATACAGGCAATCGCCGTACTTCAAAGTCGCTGCGCCGCCAAGGCAGCCGTGCTTCAGGGAGCGACTATCAAGTGACCATGTCTCGTCCGCGGCAGACCGCGCTGTCCCCCCTGACAAGAGCCGAATCTCTGCTTGCCAAGTATGGCACGCCAGGCTTGGCTCCAATTCACGCTGCTGCAGATGGCACCACCGTCATGCGAGCGCACATGGCGCCTCCGACGCAACTCGCAATGCCGTCTTTTGATGATGAGTTGCACGCCATACTCAGTGAATCCCAAGGTCGCTTGCACAAGTACCACAAGTGTTATGGGTCAGAGTATTGCAGCGCAAATGATTCCGGTATCACCCTCGACCCCTCTTCGCCCGTCACCACCACCGGCTCATCACATAGTCTGGTCCCACAAGGCGTCTCTCCCGCTCGAGTAGCAGCTGAGCGGCTGCTTCGGGCCTGTCAGCAACGCAGCTCAACCGTGACGACCAAACGGCTCGTCATGTGATGCTCGTGCACTAGCATCGACCAATGCTTTCCAACGGTGCTTTCTTCCTCCCGCACGGCCAAACAACGCTCTGGCGGGTCCCATGCTTCCTCCGTCTGACTGTAGCTGACCCTGCTATTGACTTTTGGTCCCGAGCTTTTTTCTTCTTCTTCTGCTTCTTCTTTTTTTTTTTTGTTTTGTTGTTGCTGTGACGAGGCTTTCCTGTTTGCCCTGGAGTGCTTCGGATCACACGTGCGAGAGACCATGCCAACCTTCAGTCCTATAATTTATCTTCAAACACCCACTCCCACAACTACACTCCGGGATCACCTGGACAATGAAAAGAAAGATCACGCGTTCTTGGCACAGAAAGGAAGTCCAACAAGAAAATGCATCAAAAGCAACAACAACACAAAGAAGAAGGGGAAGGGAGAAACCAGCAGTCATCATCTGGCCTGTTGCAAGAAACAAGACGATGAGATGGCGCAAGAAATGATGGGCCAAGACCAACGGGGCACAAGAACACTGCTGCTTGGCGGCTAATTCATCAGAGTGGCAGGTGCTTCATCTCGCCACCCAATTCTAGAATGCTGCTGCATCTGGCTCTGCGAACATCTCATGCTCATCAAATCCAAACACGTGTGACTGCGCCGGAGTGGCACTGCTGTATCGGCTCCAAGCTGTTCGGCTGGATCTCAGCGAGACATTGCTGGCTTCCATCGGGCACGCCTCTGTCACCGTCGGTTGGTTGACCACAAAGCGCCGCTGGCGACGATACACGACCATGGCCCCCACGATCAGTGTGACTAACAATCAAATACCACACCAGAATGAACAAGACATGAGATACAACCACCTACAGCAGCAGATACGAGCAAGGGATGCACGACAGCGACGCATGATCATCTTTCCGATAACGCGATTCACGTACCCATAGCCAATGAGGCCAAAATCACAACGAGCCAAAGGCTCGTGGAAGTCAGGCGTTCAGCCGAGTGTGCACCGGTGGCTGGACCTCCCGGGCTGCTTGCGTCAGGCAAGGTGGTGCTCACTGCAGCTTGTGACCAGGCGGCCAACAACTCTTGGCGAGCTCGTCCCACGTATAGCTCGACATCGGCCTGATCTTGCATGTCAGTTAGTCCTGTCTGGAAAGCAGAAGGTAGCTGCGATGTTTCGATCCAAAGAGTTTGGTTGCTCCCCAAGCCGGCGGCAGAAACAAAAGTGCGCAGAGCCACGACAATGCCAGCCTGCGGGGCTACGAGGACGAGCTCGTTGGGCATGGCCACCACGCTCAAAAAGTCATCCGGCATGGTCACCTGAGCCGTGATGGCAGTTTCTGAGATCTGATTCACATGAGAGACAGCATAGACCTTTTCGAATTGGCTCGCACTGTCGCTAAACAGCAACCGAAGACCCTCCATGGCCCCACGTTCCCAAATGGCCTGAGCCAGGGCGTTGCGGGTATCAGCGGCCAAGTGCAAGACCACACGTGAACCGGATAGCGTATGCATTTCAACAACCGAGTCCCCAATGGCCAGCGTCGTCTCCAGGCTGGAGTTGAGGTGCTGTACGAGCAGAAAGCTGGGCACCACAAGACCGTTAAGCTGGCCCGCGGGTACATGAAGCGTCAGTTGACCCGAGACGGGGTCGAAATCGTCAATGTCGGCCTCGAAGAGCATCTCCGCAAAGACATTAGATGAGTTGCTATAAGTGAGCCCACCTTGCTGTGCAATTGCAAGGGCCGTTTCGGCTGCAAAGCGCACAACGGGGCTCAGCAAAGAGGCGTTGACCGCGTCAAAAGAGTAGGCCAGCTTGGAAAAGGTAGCCAAGCTAAAGAGTCGGTCGTCATCCACATAGTCGCCAATGGCCACGGGTACCACAGCGGCGCCAGCAGCCTCGAGGTTGTTGGCTACAGACGGCAATGGCGGCTCGGGTGTGTTCAAAGACAGGCGCCCGTCGCCAAGGACAAGGACGGCAGTTGGGCGAGTGACCGCGCCCTGCACGTATGAATCCGACGCGACGATGGCATCAAACACCAGGTCCAATGCTGCACCCAAGTTGGAGCGCCGAGCTAGGTAGTTGAGCCCATTGATGCCATCAAGCACGCGCACGAGTGATGTGCCATTCGTCAGAGACAGCACTGTGGCTGCATCATCGGAGAAGACTGTAATGCTGATGCGCTGATCAAGGCACGCAGTATCGGCGAAGCGAATCTTGGCCAGGGACGTCAGCAGCGACTTCATGGCAAAAAAGTCGCTGACCGTGATCGTTCCAGAAGCATCAACGACTACGTACAGGTCATCTGGCATCAAAGCGCAGGTCGTCGTTGTGGTCACCGGCACTCGCGTCGTCGTAACAGGCACGCGTGTAGTTGTCGCCGGTGCCCGCGTGGTTGTCGCCGGTGCCCGCGTGGTTGTCGCCGGTGCCCGCGTAGTCGTGGTCATGGGTGGTCGAGTCGGGCGTGCCGTTGTTGTAGTTGCCGGGCGCGTAGGCATCGCTGTCGTCGGAGTGCTTGTGGAGCTCGATGAGCCAGGCGTCGTTGTTCCGGGAGGCGTGCAGAGTTGGTTGACGATGTTGGAGACCACGGCTGCATCCGCTTGAGTGGCATCGGACTGCACGGTCAAGAAGATGTTGTCAGCCGCTCCAGCAATCAGAAGCAGATTGTACACGTTGGCGTTCATCACGTTGGCCACCGTCAATATCTGAATCCCGGTCGCACGGATGTTTTGAGCTACCAGAGTACCCTGGTCATCACTAGATCCATCGGAGAAGAGGATAAATTGACGGGCACCGTTGTTGGAAGTTTCAAGAAGGTCGGCAGCCGAGCTGAGCGCGCTGCCTAGATTGGTAGCTTGACCTTGATATTGCCCGGCTTGTAGGACCAACAAAAGCAGCTGAAACTCAGTCTCATCATTAATATCCAAGAGAGGAAGAGCAACCTGTGCCTGCTGAGAGAAGAAGATGAGACCCACGCTGATATCTGGCTGGGCAAGTGCCAGGCGACGCAGAATTGCCAAAGCTGTGGTCTTGGCAGCCGTAAAATCATTGATACTCATTGCCCCGGATGCATCAATGACAATGACAATGTCAGCGGTCACAGCACACGGCAAGATCAAAGTAGTAGAAGTTGAGGCCATGGTGGTATCAAAAGGAGTCGTGGTGCCATTGTTCATAGGGGTCGTGGTCGTCACATTCGCATTGGGCGTCGTCGTGTCTACAAGAGGTGTAGTGGTTGTGGCGTTTACATTGGGGGTCGTACTAGTGGCATTGACCAGAGGTGTCGTGGTGGCATTGACCAGAGGAGTAGTAGTGGTGGCATTCACCAGAGGTGTAGTAGTAGTGGTAGTAGCATTGGCCAGAGGAGTAGTGGTGGTGTCCACCAGAGGTGTAGTGGTAGTAGCATTGGCCAAAGGTGTGGTTGTAGCATTAGCCAAAGGCGTAGTGGTATCCACCAGAGGTGTAGTGGTGGTCACATTGGCCAGAGGTGTAGTGGTATCCACCAGAGGTGTAGTGGTGGTCACATTGGCCAGAGGTGTAGTGGTATCCACCAGAGGTGTAGTGGTGGTCACATTGGCCTGAGGTGTAGTGGTATCCACCAGAGGTGAAGTGGTGGTGACATTGGCCTGAGGTGTAGTGGTAGGTGCAGTCGTCAAAGGTGTAGTGGTAGGTGCAGTCGTCAAAGGTGTAGTGGTGGTCACATTGGCCAGAGGTGTAGTGGTATCCACCAGAGGTGTGGTGGTAGTAGCATTAGCCAAAGGCGTGGTGGTATCCATCAAAGGTGTGGTAGTCAAAGGTGTAGTGGTGGTCACATTGGCCAGAGGTGTAGTGGTATCCACCAGAGGTGTAGTGGTGGTGGCATTGACCAGAGGTGTCGTGGTGGTATCAACCAGAGGTGTAGTGGTGGCATTAACCAGAGGTGTCGTGGTGGTGGCATTGACCAGAGGTGTCGTGGTGGTGGCATTGACCAGAGGTGTCGTGGTGGTGGCATTGACCAGAGGTGTAGTGGTGGTGGCATTGACCAGAGGTGTAGTGGTGGCATTGATCAGGGGTGTAGTGGTGGTCACATTGGCCAGAGGTGTAGTGGTGGCATTGACCAGAGGTGTCGTGGTGGTGGCATTGACCAGAGGTGTCGTGGTGGTGGCATTGACCAGAGGTGTAGTGGTGGTGGCATTGACCAGAGGTGTCGTGGTGGTGGCATTGACCAGAGGTGTAGTGGTGGTGGCATTGACCAGAGGTGTAGTGGTGGCATTGACCAGAGGTGTCGTGGTGGTATCAACCAGAGGTGTCGTGGTGGCATTGACCAGAGGTGTCGTGGTGGTAGCATTGACCAGAGGTGTCGTGGTGGTATCAACCAGAGTTGTAGTGGTGGCATTGGCCAGAGGTGTAGTGGTGGTGGTAGCGTTCATTTCGGGTGTCGTAGTCTCGATCAGAGGTGTCGTCGTCGTTGCGTTGACGTTGGGTGTAGCAGTTGTATCCACCAGAGGTGTAGTGGTGGTGGCATTTACATTCGGTGTCGTGGTAGTGTCGACATTGGGTGTGGTAGTTGTACCATTCACATTCGGCGTAGTGGTGCTGACTGAAGCTGTTGCGCTGGACGTGCTGCTGGTGCTAGACGTGCTGCTGGTACTGCTGGTGCTAGACGTGCTGCTGGTACTGCTGGTGCTAGACGTGCTGCTGGTACTGCTGGTGCTAGACGTGCTGCTGGTACTGCTGGTGCTAGACGTGCTGCTGGTACTGCTGGTGCTAGACGTGCTGCTGGTACTGCTGGTGCTAGACGTGCTGCTGGTACTGCTGGTGCTAGACGTGCTGCTGGTACTGCTGGTGCTAGACGTGCTGCTGGTACTGCTGGTGCTAGACGTGCTGCTGGTACTGCTGGTGCTAGACGTGCTGCTGGTACTGCTGGTGCTAGACGTGCTGCTGGTGCTGCTGGTGCGCACCTCACCTGACGTTGTTGTGGGCATGGGCTCGCATGTGCACGACAAGCAACCTTGACGGTTGATGAAATAACGCACCATGGCATCAGGTTTGCAGCGGCACACGGGGTCTGTACACGACACGGTCCTGGTGGTTGTAGTCTGTGCAGTGGTGCTGGCTGGTCTGGTTACAGTGGTAGCTCGCGACGTGGTTGTTTCCACCGCGGTACTTGTTGTTGTGATGGCGGGCGTGCGAGTAGAGGGGGGAGATGGAGTCGTTGTAGTTGCGATCGGAAGGCACTGGCACTTCCAGCAGCCGTTGCGATCCTGGAACTCATAGAGCTGAGCCGAGGGCTTGCACATGCATTCTTCAGGCGCAGGGCAGGAAAAGGTGGCGGTTGTAGGAGAGGCTGTGGTGCTCTCCCGGGTGGTATCACTGCGTGGCGTTGTGGTACTTGCAGGCGTGGCCAGGGGTAGGCATTGGCAGCGCCGGCAGCCAGTGGAGGCATCAGTCCATACATGCTTATAGGCATCAGACTTGCAGTTGCACACCTCATCGTCACACGGGGTGGATGCGGACGTAGTGACCGGGCTGCGCGTCGTGTCGCTTGCGGTGGACGTAGTCAATGGAGGCCGTGTGACGGGAGCCGATGTGGTGGTGGTTGGCAGTGGTGTTGGCTCAAGGCGGGTCGTCGGTGGTACAAGCGTAGTTGTTGGGACTCCACCAAACGGTACACACTCAAACATGAGACATCCTTGCGCATTGCGCGTCCATGAAATGTAGTATCCTGGCAAGCAATCCGTGTTTTCAAACAATTGGCATCCATTGGCATCCGTGACTGGAGAATGGGTAGAATGGCTGGTGGCGTGGGGCGACACGGTGCTTGTGCTAGCGGTGGATGCGGTGCTCGCCTCGGTATCGGTGCACTGACTCAGACGTTGAACGACGGTGGCCAACACCTCGTCCTCCTTGAGGACTTCATGCTCATTGGCCCAGATGATGTTGTGCTCACTGGGGGAACTGGCAATGACGGCAAGCTCAGCAAAATCAGTATCATCGCCAACGCCGACGGCCAAGACACGGCACGAGGTGGCATGCAATCTGGGAGCTGCTGCCGCAAGGCGTGCCTTGTCCTGTGTTTGGCCGTCTGAAACCACAACCACTACACACGACCCATCGCGAAACCCAGCACTGGGCACGAGCACGTTGTTGACAACGTCCTCAAGCGCCCGGCCGGTATCGGTAGGTCCATACATGTACGGTATGCTGCGAATGTGCTGTCGGATAGCCTGTTCCTCCGTCGAGGCATACTCTGCAAAGTCAAACATCAAATTGCCATAATCGGCAAACTCCAAGGCAGCCACCCTGTAATATTCACAGGTAGGCAAGTGAGGCAGCATGGGGAAGAGAAGCACAGATGTGACACCGTGCGCATGGTGAATACAAGCAGGTAGCAGCCAGAGTAGAGGCGATCATGCTTACTGAATGTCGTTGTCGGAGATGTTGAGGACCTTGACGGTGCGACTGGCAAAACGGAGAACGTCATCAAACTGCTCACTCGTAATGCTGCCGCTGCCATCCAGGACGAAGAGAAGATCAAAGCTCGTGGGGAGACAAGTTTGGCTCGACACGACACAAGCAAGCATGAGCATGCCCAAGATGGCGCTCAACGAGCGCCGCATCGCGTAGGCCATGCTGTCAGAGATCAGACGACTCGGGTTCAGAAGGTGCCAGAGTTGTTGACAATCACAGCGCCGAGAGCCTGATTAAGGGTCTAGGCCGGATGAGCCAGAGGCTTGGCCGCCCGAGTTCAAGGGCGCTGAAATGGGTCAAAGAGCTGACCGAGGGTGATGGGCGCCAAACTGCCAGAAGCGATACTGTCGGCAACTTTGGGAGGTTTATCAGAAAGCCAATGGTCTTGGCGTGATGGTTGAGCAAAACCGCCTGGACCTCGGGGAAACCCAGGTTTGGATCGGCCGCCGGAAAAACTCAAATGTGATGGCAGCGGCGCGCGAGGGGAGAGGGAGAAAAGCGACAAGGCCGAGCAGGAGTTTGGCAGTACCAGCAACGCGATAAAATACGGTTGAGGCCACCTCGCGGCAAAAGCGAGCGTTGCTGTGACGCTCTGGTGGCAACGAGAGCAAGAGGAGCACCAGGTGCACCCGAATTCTTGATTCCATCGTGTTTGTGCATGGTACATTGGCGTGTCACGGGGACCCCTCTTGCCACTACCACAGCAAAAAAGCAAAAGCAAGCGGTCGGTGACACATAGTTCCGTGCCCTGGTTGCCGGTCTATCCCGCCCGTGTCCGCAGCAGCCAGTTACTACTGCATGCATGCACGGACCCGACTTGGGAAGTACAAGATGGGGGTGCGGTTTTTAGAATAGACGTTGGAGCCATCAGAATTCTTGTGGCGGTACGGTGGTGCAGCGGCGTTTGCTGGCTCGGGGCATCTTTCTTCTCCATTTCTTCTCCGCTCCTTCCTCTCCATAAGTTGAGCAGATTCACGATTGACATCCGTGTCAATTGCTTTGACTTCAAATCTACGCCGGGCCGTACTCCATGTTGCCCTGAGCAAATGACAAGATTTTTCTTTTTGCGAGGGGTCTCGCTGTTTTTTTCCTTGGTTGAAAGTTTGGAAGCCTTGTGTCTGTTCCTTCATTGAGCTCTCCTGCCAGTCATTTCCAGATGAACCGGCAAGAGTACATCCGGATGTACCTGTTTACCTGCTTCCCTCATGCACAAATACCTCGAAAACATCGAAAAAAACCGAAAAATAAACTCTGGGACAATCACATCTGTTGCAAACAGCTGTCCCAAAAAAGTGTTTGTCAGATGAAATTGCGCACTGCAGCGCCTTGGCTGATTCTTGCATCGTGTCGTGGTTCAAACATTGACAGGCTCCTTCTCTGATTCTCCCTCTACATCAAGCTCCATCTCTGAATCTACACTACTTAAGCCTTGAAGAAACTCGGTCTTACAACGCAAAGCCGCTCATTCTCTACCGTTGCCACTCGGCTGACACCCGTTCTCTAGCTGCTCCCGGGCAGCCGACCGCTGCCGCGTGACAGTCTTTGCGAGCCCTTGCCGGCTGTCTCGGGAACACTCGTCCCTTGCCTTATCTTCTCCAGTCTGGTGTGTGCTTGGGGCACGTCGTGTGCACTGGCGCGTCTTGTCGGTGAGAGGCAAACTTCGGTGGGTCGCTACTCGTCCATGACATCCCGCCTGGAATGGGCTCACACGCGCCTGCTTGCAGCACCTGCAGCTCATCAGAAAGATGGCCACCGAGCCTGCAACGAATCCCAACGCCAACGGCATCGTGGCCGAGAAGGCCGTCGATGAGCCGTCTGCTGCGCAGGGCTTGCAGGTGCGCTGCCACCTTGTATCTTTGGACAGTCCACTCGTTTCAGACGCACCTCATGGCTGACCACGCTTGCTCATCTCAATTGCTCACCCATCCCGGCAGCGCTTCGTGGCCGCCAAGCAAGAAATCTGTGATGTCATGGGCCAACTCGAGTATGCACCCCCCTCGCCTGTTTGATCCTCGTGCCCGGACCCACTGGGTGTGCATGTGACCTGAATCGACTGGGCGGCGCTGACTTGCCATCTTCACCTTTGCAGAACCTCGTTTCAGTCAGCCAAAAAGTTTTGCGAGCAGACTTGGGTTTGGTCCAGCGAAACGGCTGATGGCCGTCAGGTGAGTTTGCTTTCACAGACAGGCACACACAGAGAGGCACACGCACACACCATGCGTTCCAGCTTATCGGGCTCCATTCATGTCCGCCCGCCCGTTTCTACAGAGCATGGTTGAGGCGCTGCGCGCTTCCACCGGCGAGTTTGTCAATCGCTGCCAGCAAATGATCCGCAGCGTAACCCGCGAGTCCATGAAGGTGGGTAGTGCCATGCCCATTCAAATGTCTTTCTGCTGTCTCGCTGCCGCTGCTCCTTCTCATCGTGGGCCACGCGCGCAATTCGCATTCCATCTCGACAGGTCGTCTTTGTGGGACGCACTAGCAACGGCAAAAGCACAACCATCAATGCCATGCTGCACACTAGGGTGCTGCCGGCGGGCCCAGGCCACACGACCAATTGTTTTGTGACGTACGCCCAGCTTTGTGCCCGTGGCCGGCCTGCCTAGCCTCCGAACATCATCCTGCTCAATCCTGTGTTTTGCACTTGTGTCGGCTGACTGGCTTGGGTCTGTTCTCTGATGGGCAAATTCTGATGCTTTGCTGCTGCGTAGCTTGCAAGGCAGCGACCAATCTAAAGCTTACATGCAGCTGCCCGGTGATCCGACCCCGCGCGATCTGAAGGACGTCCAGAGTCTCACCGATGCCCTGCAACAAGAGCACGTCCTTCCGCCGGGCCAATCCGTCGAAATTCACTGGCCACGTGATCAGTGCCACCTGCTGCGCGATGATGTGGTCATCCTCGACTCGCCAGGCCTAGACTACGATAGCGATTTCGATGCTTGGATCGATGAGACAACTCGCGATGCCGGTCAGTCTATTGGGGATAATTCCCTGGCTGCCAGTTTATCATTGCTGTGCTCACGCCGGGCTCTTTCGCTCCCACGCCTCCACATACAGACGTTTTTGTTCTGGTGGTCAACGCCGTCAGCACTCTCAGCGGTGCAGAGTCTGGCTTCTTTCACTCAGTCTGGTGCGTCGTCTAGCCACCACCGCCCACTTGCTCTCTGGCCTCTTGGGCCGTTGTGCATCACCACTCCCGCAGCATTCACGCATCTTCTGGTTCACTTTTGGAACAGCAAAACCGTGGCCAAACCCAACGTCTTTGTGATTTTCAACCAGTGGGACAACCTGGACGAGGACGAGGTTTGTCCCACGCACTTGGCCACTCCTTCTGCAACTATTTCAAGCATGCTCTTTGGAAATGCTTCCATGTCGCCCGTGTTCATGCTCAGCTTCGTATCTGCCTCTTTGCTTGGGCAGGCTGATGTCACGGGCGTTCGGGCCCAGCACATGTCAAAAGCCCGGGATCTGCTCGTGCGAGATCTCGGTATCTGTAGCGAGGCAGAACTCTCGTCACGCGTGTTCTTCGTTTCTAGCAAAGAGGTGCTCAAGAGCCGCGCTGGTTCAGACAGCCGCACAACCTGTACGTGTTACACCGCAACCTCCTCGTCCCTGCACGTTTGGCCGAGTTTATTGCACAACAACCCTCACGAGAGCGTTTTGCTCAATCTTTTAGCGTACACTGACCCATCTAGTGCGGTGGTACCCGGCCTCAACACGCATCAATCTCGCGCTAGGTGCGCCTTGTGACATATCTGCAAGCGTTTTTATTGGGTGTGGCGCTACTACACGTGCGTGACCTAACAGCTCATGGCCTTTGGCTCAATGTTCAAAACGCCTTGCAGGGAGTTTGCTGCATTTGAGGATAAATTTGAAGCCGTGATCACGTCCCATGCCATTGCCACCCGTTTTTCTCGGCACATCGACGAGGGTCGACGCATGGCTTCGGTCTTGACCACGGGGCTGCGCGATCTGATCCAACACCTCACCGACGAAGCTGCCCGCGTGGCTGAGCGACTTCATGCCAACACCCGTCTCTTGCAGGACTTGAACCGCCGGTAAGACAGCTTGCACAAGATCGCAAATCCATGAGGATTTTTTTTTGTGTTCAGCGTATGGGGCTGGTCCGCTCACGTGCTTTTTCCACTCTGTTGTGCTGCTGTTGCTTGCGTGATCATGGTCAGTGAGGCCAAGCTCATGGATCAGTGCGACAAGATTATTCAGGATGTACCCGAGGCCATGTACACTGAACTGTTGGATCAAATGCAGGCACAAGTTGTCTTGCAGCTCCCCGAGTACGTGCTTGCGCTGTGTCCATGTCTGTGCCTGGTGCACCCGCCCTCGTGCAGACCACCTCCGCTGGTAGTCTACGGCGACGAAGAAAGCATTCACGCTCAAGCCATTGCTGTCATCACTCATTCCATTGCTTTCCTTTGTATGTCTTTTCTTTCCTCGCTTGCATTGACTTTGATCATTTAGGATCTTGTCCAGTTTTGTAAACGTTGAGTTTGATGCCAACCAGCTGTCGGCTTACAAGCAGGCCCTCACCACACATGTGGAGGACAACCTGCAACAAGGGCTCACGGCCTCATGTGGGCGCGAGATTGAAGAGCGGTATCGCGCTGCTCGTCGACAGCTGGTGGAGCTGACGCAGCAACTCCTCTCGGGACGCCACGCACTGCCAGCAACCGTGGTAACGGGTCGTCGTTACGAAGCCAACTTGGGTCTTGACTGCCGTGGTCTGACGGACACGTTCCATGAGCAGCTTCAATTTGAATTCTCCCTGTCCTGGGGCCGTCTTGCTCCGCAGCTGCTTCCTGACCCCGCTCGTCTGACCCTTGAACACGTGGCAACGGACTTGACAAAGCGCGTGACCTCAGCCGTCCATGACGTGCAACGCCGACACGCCAGCGAGCCAGGCGGATCATCGTCCTCATCGACCAGTAGCCCAAACGTGGCTGCGGCAGCTTCAGTGCAAGAGCCGGAAATGGGTGCCATGGCCCGTCGAACGACCAGCATGATGCTGGACGTGGGCCGTGCAGGGTGGGACATTGCTTCCAACACCCCCTACACGCTCGTGGTTGCGGCCTCTGTGCCTTCAGCGTATCGTATGCTTCGGCACAAGTGGGTGCAATATCTGGTTCTTGGGGCTGGTGTTTCCGTGGCGTGCGCCTACGCCTATGAGCGCCTATCCTACACGCCGTCAGCTCAGGTTTGTCGCGGCGCAGGTCTGCTGTAACTAGCAAAACACCAATTAGCTTCCTGTCGTTTTTTATTTTTATTTTATTTTTTTATTTAATTAAGGGAAGTTTCCCGGTTTTTGCCCTCAATGACCACGGTTGGTTCCCGTCTCGTGCAATATCTCCTTGAATCTTTTTAGGAACGCAAGTTTAAGGAGCAGTTTCAAGACCATGCCGTGGCGCAACTCTACAGTCAGGCGCGTGAGAATACGCGGGCGAATGCCAAGTACATGCGCTCACGTCTGGACGAAGATCGGTCCCTGTTGAAGGAGCAGGTGGATCAGGTCAAATCAGATCTGGAGGTGGACATTGCCGCGATGCAACAGGAACAGCACGCCATTGAGACACAGCTTCGCGACGCACGACAGCTCATCGCCCACTCGACGGAGCACGTGTCACAACTGGACCGCATCGCCAACAACTTTTTTTCGCCCCCGCCCTCGGCGTAGACGCACATGGCTCGCCAAGGCGATGCATTTTTAAAAGTGGCGCACTCCCAGCCACCCGGGCTTGGTTGAACAACAGGCAGGGTCCCCAAGATGCACGCTGTGTGCACGCGGCGTCTTTTGTCGGATGACTTGGTCCTGAGAACATGAAGAGTTGACTTTTGTGTGGTATCACAGGTTCACATTTGTGTTCCGCAACAAATTGCATTCATACGTGGACAAGGGCGTAAGTTGTTTGTTTTTGATGATTCAATTCGGGACTCTGGGGGCTGAGCTCAGCTCAGGAGGATGCACACACACACACACACACACACACTAGGGCCTCTTCGTCACATGTCAATACTCGTCGTCGTCTGAGCTGCTGTCGCGTTGGAAGGCGAAACTCGACCACGAGACGGCTGCTGGTGCAGGAGGCTGGGGTTGGGCTTCAAACTGGTCAGGGCGTGAGACCTTAATCGCGGTTGCTGTCGGTGCGGGACACGCTGTGGGTGTTGGCATCGAGTGGATAGGCATAGTTTTTTTGGCTGGCGCCAGGGCTGGGCTCTTGTGCGGGGGCGCTTTCGATGTTTGGATAACCGGTTCGGTTGTGGGCGCAGCGGGTTGGGAGCGCTTGAGCACCAGTGCTGCGGCGATGGACATTGGCTTGGATGTCGTGGCCGTCGACGCGGGAGGAGATTCGGCACCGTTGCGGCTGTGTGTGACGGACTGGGTTGGCCGGGATGCGTGTGTTGTATCTAGTCTGGGTTTCGGGCGAGAGCAATGAACAGGCGTGTGTTCGCCATCTTTGATGGCATACTGCAGGCGTGGTTGCTGGGCTGGCCTCGGGAAGCGGCGCGCCTCATGATCGAGGACTTCAGCGATTGGATTTCTAGCTTCAGCATCGCGCTTCTGACTTGGCTTGCGAGGTCCCGACTTGCCCTTTCGCTGACGCACGGAAGCGCCAACGGAGGTCAAGTCAAGTGCTACCTCATCGTCGCTTTCTGCATGGTCGGGGCGGTCGTTGCCGAACTGTTGGCGGACGGCTGGTAGAGGTACGCCCTCGGCTGTCTCTGCGAACTGACCCCAATCGATCCGGGGGCCTGTATCTGCGGGCTGCTGTATGCGTGCAGATTCGTCCAGGGCGTCACCTGGCCAATCAGTGTCACTGACATCTGAGCGCACGGCATCAGCCATGGCCCGGCGCATGTTCCATTCTTGCGACACACTCCGGCATTCACGACTGGTGCCTCGGAAAAAGATTTTTCGAAAGGACTGCTTTTCATTGCAAATCGGGCATGTCCAGCGTTTGGCCTAACCCATGGCATGCATGCATCAGCGTCAACCGGCAAGACACGTCTCCACCATGGACTAGCCCTACAGCATGGCGTTCGTGCCTACCTTGACCTCTTGGCGCACCATAAACTGACCGCAGGCAAAGCAGCTGACCACGAGGAACACCTGCCCCATGACAGCCGTGCGTGCTCGCAGTGTGTGTGTGTGTGTGTGTGGACTGTTACAACTGACTGACATTTTCCATAAATTTTTTTTTCTTTGGACTTTTTCTTGATGAGAATCGTTCGGTTTGTGTTCGCATGTATTTGATGTATCTGGTGGTGGCGAGGAGCTATGCTTGGGCTGTTGGTGTGCAGACTGCATGGAGAGGCTTTTATCATGGAGAGGCTTCCATCAAACAGGCTTGAGCAAAATGACTTGTTGGGATGGAGTGTTGGGTCAATTGCACGTAGGGAATTCGAGGGGGCATCCCGATTTAGGCAGCAGCCAAGGTGAGGCGGAGCGTAATTTCGGTGGGCACACAGGCAGACCTAATGCAGAGAAAAGAACCAATATGGCGTCAGCTTGCATTGCTCATAGCTTGAGGCTCATTCAAATAGACCAGCGCGACCCTCTGAGGCAAAAAAGGGAAAACCACAACAAACGCGAGAAGATTCGTAAAATCCCGACGTACGAAGTTTTCAAGGCCAGCATCGTGGCTTCGGCAATGTCCTCGGGCTGGAGCATATTTTCTAAGTGAGGGCATCGATATCACATGAGGAAAGACCCAGGCTCACCGCAAGACCCATGCCCATCTGACTAAAAGAAAAAAAAAGAAAAAACAGCTCAAAATGAGTGCAACGGTGGCAGTCTGTTGCCTCACACCTTTGATGACGCCTTGGACGCTAGCCACGAGCTCCGTGTTGACAAAGGCCGGGTTGATGAGCACAACCTTGATGTTATCGTGGCGAAGGGCCTGGTAGCAGCTCAAACTCCAGCCTGTGACGGCAAAAGCATTAGTCGTCGAGTGAGGCATGATGATACCCGTCAAAGATTTCCGCATCACAAAAATAAAGTCGGGGGCGGGTTTGTACCGCGCAAGGCATGCTTGGAGGCAGCGTAGGCCCCCGAGCTCTGCATGGGTTCCACAGCGGCAACGCTGCAAAAACAGTTCAGCCCAGGATGGAGGCAGAGGGGGTCAGCAACAGCGTGGCTTGAGCTTCTTGCAAGGGCCAGTTGAAATACACGCCAAGTGGGCCGACGAGCGGGGACACACCTGCCAATGTTGATAATGCAGCCGCCACCGCTCTTGGCCATCTCAGGGCTCAGGTAGCGCGTCAGACGCATGGGTGCCCTGCAAGGTTTGGAAGAAAGAAAAACGATGAGATTGAGGGTAGGGGAAGGGCTGGTGTGCAAGTCACAGGGCGAGGCGCACTGACGAGACGTTGATGGCCATCATCTTGTCCCACTCGTCAGGATCGCCTTCCTTGGCGTGACCCTTGGCCATCATGCCAGCGCAGTTGACCAATACCTGCCCAGGGTTCGAGGGTGCAGCCGTATGCGGATTTGCGTGAGTGTGCATCAGTGTGAAGCGAGATTTCAGAGGCGTCGTACTTTGGGGAAGCCATGCTCTCCGGTAAACTTTTCAACTGTAGACTGCACGGCTTGGCCGTCGCTCATGTCGCAGGGGATAACGGCGGTTTTGGCAGCCCCTGAGACGTCCAGTGCATGAAACAGACAACCGCGGGTAAGCTGTCACGGAGAATCGGCACGCAAGCGAGTCGAAGGCAGCGCAGCTTACCTTTGGCGCGGCACTCCTCGGCCACGGACTGGAGCTGCGACTCAGTGCGAGCCATCAGGCCAACCTGCTCGCGCAGGGCAGGGCAGGTGAGTCTGTATGGTGGGCTCACAGAGGAATGCTATCGTTGAGAACGGCGGCTTGACGTACGTTGATGCCTTCACTGGCAAGCACCAGGGCAATCGCTCGGCCGATGCCACGACCAGCGCCCGTGACTAGCGCCCAAGAGCCTATGGGTCGGCGCGCCGACCATCAAGTGAGGGTCTGTGTGCGCATGCAAGCCAGGTCAAGCTGCCGAGTCAACCTGCCTTTGAGAGATTGATTTGCGACGGCTGCCATTGTGCTGTTGGTTCGTGTGAGTGGGACCAAGTTAAGAAAAAAAAATGCAGCCCCAAGGGTTGTCCGCAACGCAAGGAGCCCACGAGCCAGACACCAGTCAGACGCAACCCCCGAAGAAAAGCTTTACACGTTACAAGTTAGTTCCATGACGAGTCAGTCAGCATTGCAGAGCAGCGCAAGGCCTGCTGATAGGGAGCAAGAGGGACTACGGGGCGTGCGATACCATGTCGTCGAGGGCTCCAAGCTCGCATCATCACCCATCAACATCATCACAAAGACGTTTTGTTGGTGTTGATGTTTTGTGTGTGTGTGTGTGTGTTTTGGGTGTTACGCGGATAGGGGGTTTTGAATGTGGAGATCGGATATAATATGACACAGCGCAGGGGGGCGGGGGTGAGGATAGTAGGAGAAGGGTCATTCAATTTACATCGGTTTTGCGCAAAAAACGAGTTGCTAAAAAGGTGCACAAAAGGCACACGCCTGCGCCATGCAAAAATGCACGCGAGGAGTAACAATTTGCACCGGCTCGGGTGATCAAAAACACAGACGCTGTCAAAAAAGCAAGAACAGAACAAGACGCGGGTTGGTGGCGGCGCAAGAGCGCGAGGCGGTTAGGCTTGTTTAATTATGCAGATCGCTTGTCCCAGGCAGCCTCGGCAGCACCGCTGGCAATGGAGCCCACATGGTTATCAAGAACAGTTTCAAGGATGAGGGTGCCACTGATCATCTCCTGGAGGGTTTCCGGAATGAGAGAGTCGATGGGCTCGAGCAGGGGGGTCAGCTTCTCAAGGATGGAGTCCTTGAGAACAAAGGACAGAGGACCGGTCACAAAGTCAGCCAGGTTTTGAACCACGGAGAACTTGGCATCGTGCTCAAAGCTGGCCCAGGTGGCGGCAAAAACGGCATCGTGCTTTTCGTTGGCGGTGGCTGGGTCCTCGTTGATGGCCTGCGTGTAGGTGTAGGCGGCCCGGTCGTAGAGGGCGCGAATGGAGGAGCGCACGTTCCAGGTCCAGGAGTACAAGTCCAGGTACGAGTCAATCAGGTTGGACATGGTCTCGTTGCTGCGGACGACGTCGGGCAGCATGCCCTTGAGGTCCGAGTACTTGTCGACAATCTTGTACAAATAATCAAAGCCGTCATGGTACATCCAGTAGCTGCACTCGGTGCTCCAGCGAAGGCTCTGGTCGGCCGAGTCTTGGGGGGAGCCATCGGCCACCTTTTCCGAGTAGCGCTTGCACTCCTTCTCAAACTCGGGCTTGGGGCCCACGTAGGCGCTGTAGAGGGTGGGGGAAAGGAAGCCAGCCAAAGCAGTGGCCATGGGGCTGAGAACCTTCTCGGCGACGGGGTTGATGATGGGGGTAGCACTGCCGTCCAGTTGACCACAGAGCTTGCCACGGAGTTCCACGATCGGACCAATGGCGGTCTCGAGGCCCTTCTTGACCGTCTCCTTGACGGCGTTGAGGGCTGTAATGAGGGCCGTGAATTGGGCCTTGACAATGCCGGAAATGATTGTCCGGAGGAAGGCAACAATTTTACCGAGGGCGACCTTCTTCATCTTGATGGGGCCGGTGAGGTTGCGGATGGTGGATTCCAGGAAGCGGCGACGAGCGTTGTCGGTGAGGAGGTCGGTGAGCATGTCAGCTTCAGTGCCCGAGTAATTTTTCCAGTAGTAGTACCAGGTGTGGGATTTGCGGGCAGTGTAGGCTTCTTGAAAGGCCTCGTACATCTGGTCATCCTCCATGGTGCGGGAGCTGACGAGCTTGGAGCACTCGGCAAAGGTGATGGCCCACTCATCAAACTGATCCTGGGTCTCAAACTTGAAGAGCCAGCGGCGCTTCGAGTCGTGAAAGCACTCCATGGTCAGGGGCTCGTACTTGTCGTACTCGACGTCACCGATTTCCTCACCAAACTCTTTGGCCTGATCCTGCTTTTGCTTGATCTTGCGACCATTGGGATCCGTCACGACCTCGTAGCCCGAGAGGTTGATGGTGCCCTTGGGCTTTTTGCCGTCCTTGAAGGCCTGCTCCGACTCGTAGTAGTCAATGTTGTGGTCCTTGCGAACCACGAAGAAGCGTTCCTTCCAGTTCTTGCGAACATCGCCGCGCTTGATAAAGGTGGCCGTCTTGAGGGGCTCGGTATCCACCAGGGGTTCCGACTCGGGGCGTTCCTGCAGCTCGAGTGCGGGGCCCTCTTCCTCGCCGGCCTCGTGCTTCTCAATCGCTTCGCCGACCAATTGACCCTTGTAGGCAGACATAAAGTCCTTGCCAAAGTCTGCACGATCAAGGAAAAAAAAAAAAAAGAAGATCCGGCCAAACAATGGAGGCGGGATGAGATAGGGAAGCGAGGGCCACAACAACGATGGTGGGAAAAACACATGCTGGCGAGGCAAGGCATCGAAGAAGAATGGAAGACGAAGAAGAAGAAGAAGAAATCGATCAGAACGAAGAAGGGGCGCGGTCCCGGCGCTGCTGACCGGTCATTTGGCGCTGCGTCTCCTCCTGGACTTCCTTCCGGACTGCGTCGTCAATCATGCTGGCGGTGC